TACCTCCCACATGGAAAGCTGGCCAGCTTTGTGTTAGTTCTCAGGACCGACTGTGGAAAAGACAGCTATAAGTACCTCCTAGGAAGAGCAACAGCAATGTTATTCCAGCCCGAATTGAACCAGGAAGGAATGGTTCCACGCCCTCAGCGTAATTGTCTGTCTTGTCTCAGGAGACCTTATGCTAAAGGACCTCTTTAAGGTCCCTTAGTGTCATGTCATATTTGCATCAGTGATGTTTGCCTTGAGACTAACTGATTGGATTTTTGCCATAATTGCACCTAAGTCCCAGGGGACCAGCCAGAGCCTTAGGTGAATAATTTAAGCATTTAATTTATAATAAAGATAAAGTTTGCAATCAGCATTTCTTGTTCCAAAACATTCCATTTACTTGGTTTTAAAGCTGCATAAACTGTTTTAAAGGCAATCTGCTCAATTGGGCGAGTTAATGATATTGAATTTGACCGGGCCAAACGTCACTGGGTGAGCATCCCGTCTATAATCACAGCCATCATCACCGCCGTTTTGTGTAATGTAGATGCAATGCTAATCCTGAGAATAAAAGTTGTCATTCTCGGTTGGCTGACGGCGTGCACCGGAGTCATCACCTCGCTAAGTCTCTCAGTGATGTGATTCCAAGATGACAGTGTAATAAGTGTTATGTGCACAAGGTAATTCAAAACAAATTTGGCTGCAAAAATGGATCGTCTAGGATAGTAAACTCCCGCCTTGTCTCATCTTCTTTTAAGAGAATGTAATGATCCCTAAAATACCTTGTCAAGAAGCTCATGTGGCAGGGGTCAAGTCCTGTAAAATTTATCTGTTGCACCCCCCTCCTCCTCCAAGAATCCCAACTCAAGGACTGAAAATATCAGCGTGCATATTGGTACCCCAGGAACACACAAGACGGGCGGACAGCTTCTGGGAAGCTAAGAAGTCTTTCAGCATACGAATGTCTCTTAAGAACACCTCACTAGGCTGGGTTTCGCTTCTTTGATTATAGATTGTTTCCTCATGGGAAAATGTGTCTCTTCTACTATAGGATCCCCACGAGCACTGGAGTCTTAGTAAATTCTTATTATTGGCATTTAGGCATTACAAGTAAGTTATCTCATCTAAACTTTATATTACCCTAAGAAGCACGATGCTATATTTATTTTGTAGATGAGGAAACTGGAAAGAACAGTTAAATTGCCCAAAGCCCACAGCCAGGATTCCAATGCTGGCTTCATCCCACAATTGCTGTCCCTGCACACTCCACCTCTGAACTATAAAAAAAGGAGGAGGTCACCTGGCTTGTAGAGGAGCTTATTGGAGCTGTATTTGATTGAAAACTGCATGGGCTACTAAATTTGTTTTCTTGGGCACAGTTGTCAGAAATGCCTTTCTGTGGAACCCAGTCGTAGGCAGGGGGGACATTCTTGTGTGGGATGACAGGGCATTTCTCAGTCACCCCAAAGTCCCAGTTCTCCCTTTGGAGTTGCTACTGCTCTTCCCTCTGTAACCTGGGCAGTATGGATGTGGTTGTATCAGTGCCGTTTAATAGTACCGAAAGCTGGATGGATTCAGAACAGCTTTCCTGCTTTTTGTAACTGAGTGTGTCTCAACACAGAGGAGCTCTTTGTAGCCAAGAATGCTTTTAGCTTTAGGCTGATACCAAGCAAGTCCTTCATGCATCATTTTCTTGGTACCATTTAAACATCCACTCAATGGTACTAGCATTTGGTTTATAAAATCTATCCAAGTAAAGCAATAGTTGCCATCACCTTGCTATAAAAATAAAATAAGATGTACTCCTAATCAGAGAAGGCTTTTCACTAATTACCCACATAGAAGACTGTCTCTAGGAATGAATGAGAAGACATTTGTGCCTAATTTTACAATATAGCTATGTGATATTTACACCTTTTAGGATGTTTTGGACTGTAGGTAGTTAAGATCCAAGTCAAATGACCTAAAGTATAAGAAATGTATTATTGAATATAACAAGAAGTTTGGGGATAAGAGGTTCTAAACTTGGTTAATTCACTTACTCAGTGATATTATTGGGACCACAGTTCTCTCATTTTTCTACTCTGCCATCCTCAGTGTGTTAAGCTGGCCTCTGAGGCCAGTTCCCCACAGGGTCCCAAGATGCTGCCACAAGTCCAAGGAAGCATGCAGATGACTTGCCTAGGGGCAGAAAATGGCCCTCTCCTGTCTCATGTCTTAGTTTAAGGATGAACAAAACCTCAGAGCTCCCTAGCAGTTCTCCCATCCCATCCAACCAGCCAGAATTACACTGTATACCCATGCCTAAATCCATCATGAGGCAAAAGGACCAAGACCACCATGATAGGCGGGAGCCCATCAAAATCCACACCTCAAATCTCCCCCAGAAGGAAAGATATAGGATCTGGTAGAAAGGAAACAAAGAGTTCTTTTAGCAGAGAGGAAGCATTAGGGTGAGGATGGGTGCGTGCTGCGCAGGCAGCTGACATTGTCTCCTGTGGTGTTTGTAAGAATTATGTGTCTCTAAACAGTGTAGACCTATAGGTTCCTTTCTGGACATAACTAGAAGATTCCCGGATTCTAATTCCCCATCCTCTCCCTCACTTAGCTTAGTGTTCCTCTTAACAAGAAGAGGAAGTTATAAAGGAAAAAGATACCATAGTAAGAAAATCCCATTCTTATTCCTTTTTGGCAAAAGGCCTGGTATTTATATAGTATTAAATAGAGGAAGAACAAATTTGACACATCTTGTAGCACCCACTTGAAAATCCTAATGTCTGAATTCATTGTGGGTATAACTAACATTGGGGCAAGCCATCCCCAGGGAATACAAAGGGCAGAAGACCGGTGTGACTGGGTGGTATTGAACACACCCACACCTCCTAAGGGTGCTATCTGTTGCATTAAGTTATTCTCAGGAACAAATTTACTGTAGCATTGTAAATTCCTGTACTATGTGACTCTTGGTGTCACACATTTAGTGAAATATATGGCTCAAACAGTTCGGCCCCAGCATGAATTCCACAGGACCCCAAGTTGTTTTTCATCCCCATCTACACCCCATTCCCTCCCATGCCAAGCCCTCAGCATTCGAAGGTCTAAGCAGGGAAGCACTCACCAAGGTCACTTGGGGCGGAAAGCTAGAAAGAATTCTTTCTTGTCCTTTCATTCTTCTCTCAAAGGGAGAAACATGGCAACAGTTGTAGTGTTAAACCCTGCTTTCCAAGTCCTCCAGGATGGGGAATTTAAAAGTTCGGTGGTTCAGACAGTTCCTTATTTACTGGTGCACTCAAGTCATTTTGTGACCCAGAGTTCTTTTCTGCCGAACTCCCTCATGATGTAAATAAATTACTTAAGTGGATTGAATCCAAATCATTAATAACCTCCACTGGCATGATTCATTTGGGCTTCATTACAAGGAAAGAATTCAACATCTATTTCTCAACCCAACAGTTGTTTACAACGCACTTCAACCTAAGAGTTGTTGTCCCTACAGGGCCAGAGTGAAAGGGTTTGGGGGGAAAAAAGAGAAAAACAGCTCTGCAATCAATACTTATGTTCTGCCTGGACAGAGGGAAACTGAAGTGCTCTGAGGATAGACCTAATTGTCAGCATGCTTTGAAGTCCAAGATACTAAGGGAGGAAAATGTATATATGCCAGATAGGAAAAGGCTGTGGTTCAGTGTTCATTTTGACATTTATACATACATGCTAAAAACACGCACATTGCAAGAATGGACTATTAATGTAAGAGATTTAAACTCAGGGATTGCTATGTGGAGTGACTTGAGTGGGTCAGTGTTCTCCAGAAAAGCTTTGAGAAGCTGAGCAACTTCTGCAGTCCTGTGGAATATGATTCCTATACCATCATTTTACATCTGCTTTTTAAAAGCCCACCAAACCTCTTGAGGAATACCGTAATATTAAAATATTGTGGAGCCTGATGCATTTTATGCAGTCCAGTCATAAGATGTTACCAGACTTTCTGCCCATAACTACCTGAACATAGTTCCTTTGTTTTATGGGGGAAGGGAAAAGAGAGGATAAATTAAATCATTGGACTTCCATCTAACTTGGAATGACTTTGATTTTTAGAAATAAGACTCTGATTTCTATTTCATCTTATGTAAGCTGTTCTAAAGATAGCCAGGTTGGGTGAGTTTTGATTGTACCATTGGGGAGAATCCTGGACATAGCATCCAACGTTCTGACCCAGCATGAACTAGTAAGGTCCTCTCATGAGGTCTGAGGCTGCAGGGAGGGAGATGATCTTACTTTCAGTCCTGCCAACTTCACAGGACTATGATGAGAGAACTGTTGAGAGGTATCTTCATTTAAGCCATGCAGCAGACAGTAGTCACTCAATAAGTGCAGGCTTTGAGGATGCAGTAATAGCAAAACACTGCACACAGTGGGAAACAAAACAGCAATTAAGCCAGTGGTGACTTCCCCCCAAACGTTGGCCATTTGAGTTCCTTCTCCATAATACTTGCCATATGCCCCTATGACCTGAACTGTCATTTACTTAATATTGTCAATGGACTTTTTAAAGAGCGAAAGGATTAATTTTAAGAGGAAACTTCATATTACTTCCATGACGGGAAGACTGGTATCATCTGACACAAACTGGAAAAATACACACTATTAAAACGTAACAGTGTAATGAATTTCTAGTTAGCTATTATTGCCTGATAAAGGCTCGGAGCCTGAGGCTGGCCTTTTCTTTCACAGGCAAGATTAGCAAGTGATGAAATTGTGTTAAAGATATTCCACGAGGAAGCCAAGCTTTCCCGCTGTGAGATTTACCATTTCATGCCAGATCTGAATACCTCCAAACTCACTCTTTTCACCAGGCATTCTTTGGGAAACCTAAACATTAGAGAAGTGAAGTTCTCTGACCCCATCGCCTGCTTCTTTTAGCTGCTTACACATGAAAGGAGCCAATCCATGTATCTGTCCTTCCATTTTCTGCTTCATTCTAACCTTGTCCCACCCTAAATATTTTTCCACAGGTCAACGGCAAAGACTTGTCCAGAGCAACTCATGACCAGGCTGTGGAAGCTTTCAAGACAGCCAAGGAGCCCATAGTGGTGCAGGTGTTGAGAAGAACACCAAGGACCAAAATGTTCACGCCTCCATCAGAGTCGCAGCTGGTGGACACGGGAACCCAAACCGACATCACCTTTGAACATATCATGGCCCTCACTAAGATGTCCTCTCCCAGCCCGCCCGTGCTGGATCCCTATCTCTTGCCAGAGGAGTAAGTAACCTAATCTTGAACCCCTAACGCGTTAAGTAAAGAAGTATTTCCAAGTTGTTTTTTTGCTCTTCCATGTGGCAAAAAAAAATTAATGCACCCTATAATTTTCCTCCAAGTTGCCCGTATTTAATTTTATTGTTTATAGAGGCAATAAATCGAATCCTGCTCAAAACCGCTCTGACATATTAATTACTTTATTATAACCCTGGAGCGGACTTACTCAAATTATATCCTAAGAACAGAATTACTTACAAATGTTGTAAAAGTTGTTTCAGAATAAAATTTAATCACCCCAAATGGTAATTTGAAGATCATGCAGTTATTACTAGAGGGAATGCTGATCATTCTTTTAAATAGACAACAAAGTAAGTTGTGTGTGTCAAGAGAGCCCTGGAGGTTGTGCCTTCTGCTTTCTTGGGTCTCATTTCAAGCCTGGATCCATGTAATAAGCCCGCACATGCCTCATCTAAGTACTGCATCAACCAATTAAATAACAGCTGCAACTCAGCACGCCACATGGATTTCTTTACACACACCTCTTCTCCCAACTTATTTCTGCCAGCAGCAAAGATTCCTTCAGAGGCTTCAAGTCAGACAAACCTGATGCTCAAAGTGATTTCTAGTTGTGGAACTTGGGTAACCTAGTTACCCAAGTTTTGTGGGGCTGTATTTTTCCTATATTAAAATGGGGATAACAGTATCAATCTCTTATGATCGTTGAAGGATTAAATAAAACAGTATGTGGGAAGTGCCCATGGGGCATATGGTAAGTACTCGGTACATGATAGCAGTGATCCCCGTTAATTTAGTGGGTGAAGTAAAATATTCAGGAAAAAATGAAGAGCAAGACATTTTCTGTGATAGACTGCTGGCCTCCAAGGCGTCCAGTTCAACATAGCTTTAAACGAAGCTTTTCGTGTGTGACTTCGCACATCTGAGGACACAGCCTCTCCAGCTGATGTTAGGGTCGCCCCTGTGTTTTCCCATCTCAGCTCCATCTCGGATCAGATCATTTATTTCAAAGGGCATTTTCACCTCTTACAGGAAAATCCAATGGGTAATACCTGTTGGATTCCTAGTAGTAAGTCAGTAGCTGGAGTGAGCACTTGTTTCCTGTGGTTCTGTCAAGTTCCAAATAAAGGCTTGCGCTTCATCCCTTGATTTTAGTGGCTAGCTGTCACTGGAACCCAGGGCTAATTCCCCAGGCTCGACAGAGTAGGTTTGGCGGCAGCTGGTAGCGTAAAGACAGAGGACAGGGCATCCGTCTCACATTCGCTCACAGTGTGCACATGTGCACAGCACTGTTATCTCCTTTATTTCTCATGACTGTCCGTTTATACAGATGAGGAACTGCAAACTTCAGGTTCCACTGAGCTGATGGAAAGGCAGGTCAGTCAGACCCCGACTCCCAGCTCTGAACCACAGTACCCTGTAGTGGCCCATTCGATCCTCTGGAACAACTGGCTGATTCACTGAGTATGATTATCCAAACCATTTATCTGACGTTACAGACCAAACTGCCTCACATTATTGATGAGGCCTTTTAGGCTACTTCTGACTCTCAAATGTTGGCCTGTCACAGTGACGGGCCTTTTAGAAGCTAAACCTGTAATTTCCTCTTAAGTCTAGTTAACATGACATGACTTATCCCCTGGGGGCAACTTGAGACATGTCAGAAGAGTCCAGAGGTCAGGCCTCTTCAGGTTCTGGCTAGGTCAGACAACAGCAAGAGCGTGCATCGGGACTGAACGGGGAATGTTAAGTTGACGCGTGAAAGCCCAGACCTTCCAACAGTATCCTCAGTACTAAAAGCCCTTTAAGTGCAGGCAGTATATTTGCCTGATGGGTCCAGAAAATTGAAAGCCAGCCCTTATTTGAATGGCCACTCATGTCTGATCTGTTGTTTCAAAACTAAGTGCCTGGCAGGGAAGACTAGGGCCCATTGATTGCTGTGCTATGACCTTTGAGAACGTGAAGGTTTGGGTCCCCAGCCAACAATCAGAGGCTGAAGCTTTGCATCTGGCACCGTGGACTGTTAAGCTCCTTTCAAAGCCACTGATCCAGTATGTTATGACTCCCACTGCCTTTGCTCCTTGAGGTTCCTTTAATGACGCTTCCAAAGATGTCATGAGTTCTGTGGATTGTATTTTGCATATGTTGTCCTAGGGAAACATATCTTTATATGCATTGTTATATGATGCATATAAAAATGCATATAATGATGCATATAAAACATCATTATATGCATTGATGCCTACATGTTTGCACATACGTTTCAACCATGTAAGTGCATACTGCATTGTGATATCAAACATATCTTTGTGGGTAACATTCAAAAAGACACCGTCCTAGGTAACAGCAGCAGAGTTTCAGTCTCAGCCTTTTGAACTGGTCTCAGGGGCCAGCACATATCTTAGACTGTTGCCTGGGCTCGAGCCTAGTTTTCGGCAGAGCCTAGTTTTCATCTAACAATGAAGCAATAAGCAGTAAAATACCGTCCTCTTTCCTGCGTACAGATGGAGTTAGAAATTAGTCACATTGAATCACATGACTGGCAGGCTCTGGGATGGGCTCTGCAAACAACAGAGCCCATCAGGCTGGCACTTTGCATCTTAAGTCCTTCAGCAGGAAATGGACTAAAGGCAAATGGTAAAATTAGGATGATGGAGGTCCTGACCGTGCTGAGAGCCCCATCCAGAGGGAAGTGAGTCATGAAAGGGCCCACACCCTGGGAACTGTTCCTGTGCCACTGGCCTGACCATGGGTGTAAGAGAAACAGATCCTGACACTGGAAACAGGGCTGTAATGATGTTGCATCTCTTTTCAGGCATCCCTCAGCCCATGAATACTACGATCCAAATGACTACATTGGAGACATCCATCAGGAGATGGACAGGGAGGAGCTGGAGCTGGAGGTATGAAGAACATCCTTGTCTCATTTTAGGAGTCATTATTAAGAACACAGAATGCCTAATAAGTTCTCTATAAACATAAATTAGTTTACAGATGCCAATGGAAAAATAACAAGAGCAGAACCACTTTTACTCATGCCCTTTGAAAGGCACAACTGAGATTCTTCTTCCCTCCTTGGAAATAGAGCTTAATAATGAAGTCTCAAAAGCAGAAATGTACGGTTTTTTTTTTTTTTTATTTGAATCACTTAAAAGATAGGACAGTAAATCCTGTTGTCAACCTTTGAATCCACATAATCCATACATTCTTGTAACTAACATAAGCCTCCTCACCTTCCTCCCTTTTATGTCATCACCACTCTTTACTCAAAGGCAGATGGCTCAAGAGTAGGTGGATAAATTACTTCAGTGAATGCTAGCCTGCCCTGACAAAAGGGTTTGTTCACTGCTTCACTTGCTTCAAGCTTGCTAACGTTGATATAGAAGAAATTAAACAAATCCATAACTCGTCTTAAGTGTTGCTTGAGGCCACACAGGATTAGGTAAAGATTCAAGATGCTACATAATGTCAAGTAGGTCTTTGTTAAGGTTTAAAATATTTAGAGGACACCAGGTTGCCAACAGAGTTCTACTTCCCATTTTCCTTTTAATAAGGGTGATAGAAAATACAGGAAACACTAACTTGTATAATATATTTATATTTGGGGGGAAACACTTTTATATTTCAATGGGGTTTCAAAACATATAAGAGCATTTCTGAAAGCTGATCTTGTGGAATAAAGTAAAAAGACACCTGATGTTGACAGGCAAGCCCTTGGGTACCATCAAAAGGTCACACAGGAAAAAAATCGAACATTTTATCCAATTTCATGGCTAACTGTTGTGTAATCTATGCTGTCCTACCAATACTTCTGAAGCTGAACTGTTTAGTGGCAGTAGGTTCTGTGCAAGGACAGAAGCAGTCGAATAGTAGAAAACAGCTGTGTTCCTCTACTTAAAGTTACCAAGAGTTCTTATTCCAAAACAAAAGTTAAAAATCAATAAATGTAGGCAAACGATGACTTAACTGACGGTTAGCCAGATACAGTCAAATCAAAGGACTTGTCACCAGTGGCATGACTGACTCAATGCAAGTTTTTAAAACTTTAAAATTTTCCCTAAATGCACCTGTTCTAAGCAGGAATGGCCACTATAAAAACTTGACTTTCTGCTTGCTGTCAACCACTTACCGAAGCACTTGCTTAATTTAACGATTGCTCCAGGGAATGAAGTTTTGTCATTTTCAAAAATCAGGATTCTGCCTCTTACTTAGTGTCCTATCACCCCAGCTTCAGGGATGTTTGGTGAAGCAGCCATGACTCCTTCAGGACACTTTTCCTTAATTTGTTCCTTCCAAAGGGGGTTCATAAGGAAATACATTTGAGAAATGCCAGATCGAAGAAAACTAAACAGATATCTTGGAGGACTTCTGAGAATCTTGACTATCTAACTAGCATTGGTAAATCCCCTGGGGGAGTGGGCAGAATTTCCCCCACCTCTCTGGCCAAGTACCTGTTTATACTTCCTCAGTCTACAGTTCTCTGGAACACTGTTGGAGAAACACTGCTCTCCAAACAGAGGGCTATTCAATTATCTTTATGGGACGACACTGCTTTTTGATGATGTAATTGTGGCAAAGTAGAGTTCTTTTAAAAAGCTGTCAGGTGTTTCAGAAGCTAGAGGTATGAAGTAGTAGAGACTCTGCAGTCTTTGGTATTTAGTTAAACTTGACTTTATAGCAGTGGGTTCTTTAGCTCTTTTTTTAGTTTCTAATACCTTTGAGAATCTGATGGAACCTACAGCCCCTCTCTGGAAAAACTCTGCTGCCTGCGAGAGCTTGCATACAGTTTCAGGAGATTCACTGAGCCCCCACAGTATCTGCCCAATTTGGGCCATTCTGTCTTACAGTTTTGTTGTTGTATCTGAGTATCACCAGAACTCTTATGTGCTTTCTATTTCTCTTTAACTCGACTCAACTTATTTAAACTACGGTAATTTTATTTTAAAGGAAACACTATACCACTGCCTCAAGCAGAAAGTCAGCATCCATTGTCTTAAATAGAAAATCCCATACAATTAAATACAGTGGACACAAGCCAGTGTTATTAAATCCTGGTGCTCAATAAGGGTGCCCGCTGAGGGTTGGGAGCCTGGGGTCACTACATCCTGCCTTTTCTCTAAGGAGATTAGCTAGTATTAAAGAAGTGTTAAGACTAGCCTGAACTGAGTCTTTCTCCCCAAAGCCTGAAGCACCTGAGAGCATCCTGCTTTCAAAGCAGGAGGGAGCCACTCAGAAACTGTTCCCTAGAACCCTGTTGTTTAAAGTGTGGTAGGAGGACCAGCAGCCTGGCTGGTCAAAGTAGAGTTCTCATCTAGGAGATGTGGGAACTGCATAAACTTGGCCCCCCAGATCTTCAGAATCAGAATCTGCACTTTAACAAGGTCCCTAGGTACCTCGGTGCCCGTTACCCTGACCTACAGGCCACAGGCCCAGATAAAGAAGCCCAAGCTATCATTTCCTCTTGTTCTCTTGAGTCACTCCAGTGAGGCTTTGGTGGTGCCTTTTACTCACTGCAGTGTAGAGATGTGCCCCCGAGTCACGATTATTGCCCATACTGTCCATGCAGAGTAAAATTATCAGGGCCTAGGAATGAGTGAACCCCTCGTAGGCATGTGACACTGTGTTCCTAAGACTGCTTCTCTCTTTTCGTGAATAAAAGCAGACACAATGCAGGTGTTTAGAAAACTAGCCTAGGATTAATATTTTAAGCTAGACCTTGGATGCCATCAGACTTTATATTCGTGTTTATTTTCAATTCCGTTCATTTTACTGAGCATCTCTTACATTAAATATACTGTTTGGCCCTAGAAATGCAAAATCAGGAAGTCACCACTCTGCCTGCCTGTAAGGAGCTCACAAGCCATTAGGACCATTAGACATTAGCTTTTCATTTCTTCTTAAACAACCAGAATAGGGGCATTCTCCATCTCTAGCCCCTTTGAACAGTTACCATGGAGTACTGTGAGTCCATAGCAGCCAGGAAGTCTTGCTTTAAACATTTGGTCTTTTGTCCACAGCAACTCAGATGTCACCAGGTCATTTCTGTTACCTACAATGAACCTGGCAATTTTGGACAGATGTTGTCCTCAGTTCTGTGGCGGTGATGGCTCAGGCCTCCTAGGCTAGGAACGCATCAGCTGAGGCCTACTGCAGCCACTCACCGGAAGGGTCTTTCCACTACAGAACAGTAGCTGTACCTCCAGCATTGCTGTTTCAGAGGTGTGTCTCTGAAAGGGCCTCTGCTCAGTCCTTTCGAGAAGGTTAATTAATAAACCCCACATGCTGAGAAGTGAGTTTCCTAAAGTGGGCCCAGTTTCCAGGGAGACTGGCACGTGCCTGTCATCCCTGCTTCTGCACGAGATTTCTTAGAACAGTCGCAATCTGCCTTCTAGATTCCATCCTGTTTTGTTCTAACTGTTAGGTTCAATTTTAGTAGAATCAGGCTGTTATATTTAAGTAAGGGGCCAATCGCAACAGACCACTTATCATCTAAGTTGAATTGGACTAAAGTCAGCACCTTCCAAAGAACAACTAGTTCCATGGATGTTATATATGAGGAAAATATGTATGAGTGTGTTGAGATTTTATTAAAGCAAATGCACAGAGAAAAACAGATGTTCTGGCCAGACACGGTGTCTCATGCCTGTAATCCCAGCACTTTGGGAGGCCAAGGTGGGCGGATCACAAAGTCAGGAGTTCGAGACCAGTCTGGCCAACATGGTGAAACCCCGTCTCTGCTAAAAATACAAAAATTAGCCAGGCATGGTGGCACACACCTGTAATCCCAGCTACTTGGGAGGCTGAGGCAGGAGAACTGCTTAAACCCAGGAGGTGGAGGTTGCAGTGAGCCAAGATTGTGCCACTGCACTCCAGCCTGGGAGAAAAAAAAAAACCCCAACCCAAAAAAAAAAAAAAAAGAAAGAAAAGAAAAACAGATGTTCTCCCTTTTAAAGTACACAAAATGATCATATTTAGGTAAGTGTCAAATCCCTGTTATTATGAGACTGCTTAGAGTTAAAGGGATTACACCCAAGTGTACCCTAGGGTTGAGCAGACAAATAATTACCCATAAATTTTCAGGCACTGAACACCTGCTCTACATCTTCCTGTAGGCAATTAAGAAAGAAAATACATGCCCAAAGAAGGCTTTTTCTTTTGTCTATTGTTTTAATTTCCCAGGCGATTCATCAGAAGCATCCTATGTAGGCTGTGAAACTGCTGTCACCTGTATTGTGTTCTCATGATGTAATGAAAGGAAAGGAAAGCTACAGTTTCAATAGGAGACTAAAATGCTCTGCAAACCTGGTTTTTTGAGGAAGCTAAGTATATCAGAAGGGAACCGGGATTGACCTGGAGATTATGCAGGATGCCCCAGCCAGTCTAGAATTTTTTCTTTAGCCTTTGAGGCACAGGACAAGGAAGAGATCCTTAGGGAACCTTTCCTGGTCAGCCCCATCCTGGATTGAATTGGCTTCCTCATTACTTTTCCTGTGTAATCAGGGTGTTTGCCACTTTTTGTACTACGCCTTCTAACAGCCTGCGTGGCAGTGCCCCAGATCTTTACATGCCTCAATCTTTTCTCCAAATGTCACCTCTCCAGAGGAGCTTCCCTGGCTACTCTCTGAAGCACCCCTATGCCACCAGTACAATTATTTACTTTTTTGTTGTTGTTGTTTTTTTTTTTGGAGACTGTGTTTTGCTCTGTCACCCAGGCTGGAGTGCAGTGGTGCAGTCTTGGCTCACCACAGCCTCCTAGGTTCAAGCAATTCACCTGCCTCAGCTTCCCAAATAGCTGGGATTACAGGCATGTGCCACCACACCTGGCTAATTTTTGTATTTTTAATAGAGACAGGGTTTCACCTTGTCGGCCAGGCTGGTCTCAAACTCCTGACCCTCAAGTGATCTGCCTGCGTTGGCCTCCCAAAGTGTTGGAATTACAGGTATGAGCCACTGCACCCAGCCCATTATTTACTTCTTATCTGTCTTCCCCACTGGAATACAAGCTCCCTGAGAGCTAGGCTCTGGTCTAACTCATTTACCGTATATTCCTTTTGCCCAGACCATGTCTGGCATATAGTAGGCACCCGGAAATGTTTTTTGAATGAAGGAATAAAATGCCTTGTTACCGTATCTCAAACATAAGGTCCTTGAGGGAAAATGCAGTCTTTAGAGATATGTCTATATCCCACATAACACCATGGAAACTGTTGAGATAAATGTGCACAGCAACCTGGACCAATAAGTTGAAGAGTTATGCTTTAGTGGCCAGTCTTCCTGGAGGTGGATAAAGCATTGAAATGAGTCTTTGAGATCCCCTTTGATTAAAGTAGCTGATGCTGAAACAGAGTTTGAATCAACAAGGTGGAATGGCCCTCTTAAAACTCTTAATTGGAATATCGTTTCAATTTCATCTGAAATGTCAGGCTTAGCTGTTCGTTTTTATCAACAGTCCATCTAGACCAGTAAGCAACAAGATACCAGTAACGGGGTAGCTGTAATCCAGATAATGTTACTACATTATTCATACCAGTTTGATTAATAGTCTTCTTTGAAATCTTATCTCCATCACAGACAGATACATATTGATAACTTCTATGCTTTCAGCAATATGCTCAATTGTGTAAAACTAGATCCGTCACACAGAAATGCTGAGAATTTACAAACCACCCAGTAAGTTTGAGGAATTTTACTTTCCACTGAGTCCCCAAAATATTGTGTCTTAAAACCACAGAATGGCTAAGTTTGTCGAAGTTCAATGACTTGCTCAAGGCAACCTCCCTCATTAAAGATGGAACCAAACTGGTTTTTCATTTGGATCATCCTGCCTTGGACTCTGAAGTTCATTCAGTTTTATTGAGCACCTACTGTGCACAGCATACAAGTCTAGACACTGCTTTCATTGCACAATTCATTATTCAGCTACCATTGCCTTACTGTAATCTTCTTTGTAAGAAAACAAGGTAAACCCTAAATCCATACAGAAACAGAGACAATACCAGCTCTTACACTGTTGTTTTTCAAGAGCTTCTGAAAGCCTATTATGGATCGCTCCGTGCTTAACTGTCAGCAACCAGATTCTTCTCTGTGATGTTGAACCATCCCTTGAAAATTAAATGACCGAGGCTAAGTCGTATCCTGTGCCTTCTAAATGAAGCTTTTCTGGCTTTTGTTTAGAGTTCCAAGAAGGGCCAGATAAGGCAAGGAAATATTATAGCCCACACCTTCCTATCTCACATCAGTGTCAAGTAAATACCTAGAGTAAGCTCCAGAATACCCTTTGCTTTGTTATTTGGAAATGTGCTTCACCAGCATTTGTTCATCCAATATCACTCATCCTTTGATAACACAGACCACTTCTAAGATAGAAAACTGCTTCTGGAGTGCTGCCCTTGAAGTGGAACACTAGCATTCTTATCTCTGTTTTAAAGATCAAACTGAGAACGTGACTGTCCCCATGATGGTTTGTCCTGAGAGGATTTGTGATGGGAGTCAAAGGCTAAACGCAGTGTTGGGCTCTACACCATTCTGCTGTTATGAGGGAGTATGTGTTCTAAAATGAACACTAACTAATTGGGAATAGAACTATTAATGGGACCTTCTTCTCTCCCATGTCAAACAGTTAGCATTTGTGAAGAATCGATTACTAATTTTACTAAACACAGGTGAGGTTAGTGGCAGCGTATAAGGAAGGAAGCATAAGTGGTTCTTAATTCAGATGAAAATATCTTAAAACAATAAATGTTTTGAGTATCTTCTGTTCCAGCCTGAAACTTTGTTCTAAGAAAGTTTTCTCCCTGATTAAGTCATAAAGATTTGTTAGAGGAATTGACAGATTCAGAAGGGAAAATGTACAGAAAAAATAATCATGATTAGCAACATGAACTAATGTCAACTACTCTATAGCTTAATAGTCCTCCAAATCTTTATCAATCAAAATACTGACAAAAGATAGAACAGAAATGCTTTTCAGGTTAGGTTTTATCAAAATTGTATTCTAAAGTCTCATGACATCAGGCCACCTACATGTTTGGTGTAGGCCAAATAAATCTAATCGTTTTCTGCATAACAGAGTGTCAATATCACATTCTTTAGGAGTCTTTTTCTTACTTGTATACTCCTTGTACCTGTGCCTCTCAAATGGAACACTCAAATCTACAAGTGTATTACAGAGTTGTGCTTGTCAGACTGTGCTGAAAAGCCACAAGGACCAGGTTGGCTGGTTTGTTTACTTTTCAGTCTGTCTCTAACCAATACGTGGTCCTACTGTGTGTGACTGTGTAACTCACCCCATCTGCAACACGTTCACCAACACCTGAACTGGTCTACACTTTGTCCAGTGAGACAAATCTGCTAATCATGCCCTTGGTTATCATGACAATGTCCATTTGCTATAGAGGTTTCTGAACACTTCCCTTAATTTCTGTGCTCACCTCATCATGACCAGGAAGCACGCTTTGAGGAGGAGGAGGAGCAGCAGCAGCAGCAGCAGAAGAAAGTCCAGTAGAACTATAGTATCTTCTGTACTTCCTTGAGAGAGAATTACCTTGGCAGCCAGCCATTCAGAAAAAGCTGCAACTTGAATTATCAACATCTCTTGTCTTTCTCATTTTTCTTCTTACAATCTTCCCACTGCTGTCTCTCTCTGCTTGGGTTGCATGTGGACCTGTTTCAGCAAGATGTGTCTCCTGCAGGGATAGCACCGGGCTAAGTGGCAGCATTTGAGCTGCATCTGTGCAGTTGGACCTACACAGTCATGATATTTTGTTGATTCACACTAACCTCAAGGAAATGTCAAAACTGAAAAAGTGTTCCCTGATACTCATATTCAAATGAAGTGTACCCTAAGAGAGACAGGGGGGTGTGTTTGAAACATAAGAGGATGATGTATGCCTAGTATATTTGTGGTATGCAAATTGGTTATTCCAAAGTATTTAGAAACCCAAGTATTTAGGCTTGCTCTCGTTGTTAAATATGACCCTTAAGCCCACTTAGTATATATCTCAAAAATGAAGAAATTTCCACCTAACTCAATGATCAGAAATTAATGGGGTTTCATTTAATGAGAATTTACCATATTGATAGAGCTATAATTAGGAAGCTGTTGACTTAATTAACATATCAGTGTTCAGAAAATAATCTTATTAAGAGGGGCACTGAAATATACCCACTCTACCACAAACAACTTCTTGTGACTTCAGGCAAGTAACCATACCTGCATGTAATTATTATACTACCGGTGACCATAGACTTTCTACGGGTCAGTCAATGTGCTAAGAGCTCTGTGTGCCTCACGTTGGTGACTGGGAGGCCGGATGACAGGTACTAGTGAGGACACAGACCTTAGATATACTAACATGCACATGATCAAGCTGCTAGAAGGAGGGAGAGTTGGGTTCTGAACATCTGTCTTCATAGTTACAACTCTTCCCCACCACGTTATACCCCATGTATCAGCAAGAGAGACTGCTGAAAGTCATTAAGATCATGGCAGTCCTCACTTGAAACCTTTTGATGGGTTCCCATGGTGTTGAAATAAAATCTTAGCTGCTCATGCTGGCCTGTGGGCCCTGCCTGGTCTAGCTCTGCCACCTGGCCACCCTCAACCCACTTCTGTTTTTTGTACACGGGACTCTGGCCATGCTGGCCCAGGGCCTTTTTACACCTGCTGTTCCTCCACCTGGGAAGTGTCCATGGTGCCTGGCACCCTGCCTTTCATCGGGGAGAGTTCAAGAAGTATCTGCCATATAACTGCTTTGAGCTTCTCCACAGACAGCTACATTCTCCTTCCCCTCTAAGAAGACCCTTGAGAGAGGCCACTTGGAAATAGTCCCCAGATACAGTGGCACGAAGACCCCATCTCGGAGCCCTTCCATTCTCCTGCTTGGTGATTAGATAACACTAAAAATTAGACCAAAGGATCTGCCAGAGAACTTATCACGTGGCCCTTCAAATAGGCCTGCAGCTTAGAGCTACAAAAACTTGCACAAGTCATTGGCAAAGTGGGCGGGGGAGTGACTTAGCCTGGTTACACTGAGAGCCCTAGGATGGCCCCCCTAAGGCTCCGACAATTTCCAAAGTTCTGACTTCATTCTGAAGCACAGACTAATTGGCAAATACAATAGCATGTGTCCCGCATTTGGGCTCGCTTTGCTTTTATCTTATTTAATTTGCAGTAATAGCGGCTGAAACTAATCTCTCAACTGTAAATATCACAGCTGTTGTGGAGAACATTAATTGCACACTATCACGTTACCCTCCTTTCTTGGATCAATTTATGTGTAATCTGTTTGCAAGTTCTATGACTGTGAATATTAAGGGAACGCAATGTGAAATAATCTAACCAAACACATTGGAAACATTTGTACTGAAATGGCTGGTTGGTTTGGGGTATGGAAATATTCTTGTTTGTGGCAGACATTGAAAAAGTGCTTTTGAAAAGCTCTGCCCCAGAAGTCTTGACTCTGAGTGAAATATGGGTAATTTTTCTTTGGGGGATCAATGAAATAACTATTTTCAAAATGACTTTATATTGAGTGAAAGGTCAGAAATGCCCTAGGCATTGATCCTGTGTCCATAATCACTTTTTTTTTTTAGTAAGTTAACCGGCCCTACACAATTGAATGCAAAGAAATCCAGTTCATCATTTAAAGATAATATTTTTAAAGCATTTGACATCCCCTCAACTCGCATTGCCTGCTGCAGTCTCACTGGGAATGCCTTTCTTTGTCTAGGAAGTGGACCTCTACAGAATGAACAGCCAGGACAAGCTGGGCCTCACTGTGTGCTACCGGACGGACGATGAAGATGACATTGGGATTTATATCAGTGAGGTACAAAGGCTGATTTTGTTTTTGTAACTATCATATCAAGACCAAAAGCGTTTTTTTTCTTTTATATGTTCACCAACCCTAACCCACCTCATCAAGAACTCTTTGGAAAGACACAAATTATTCTGTCCCCTCATCACACTCCATGGCATTGCATCTTTCCATGGAGGTTAAGTTCTAATGTAAGTACTTAAGGCAAAATTACCCTTGAGGAGCCTGCAAATCAGCCATAAAATGGAGCCGTTTACATGGTTTTGTGTGTTTAGCCCCGAGGGAACAGCAGATTCACATTTCCCAACTCATGTTCATTGAGTGGAATGGTGGGTGGAATCACTTACACTTTTTAAAGCCTCTCTCTCTGTCTCTCACTTTTTTTTTCCTCTTAGTGGAGTATATATAGTTGAGTTCATATAAGTTAAATGTGACTTTTGTAAGTACTTATCAAACTACATAGATGCATGCTGTTTTGACCTTCCTTGAGAAGATACATAAAGCAGCTGGTTTCAGCATGGAAACTTTACAGTGCACACGCATCGTTGCAATCACAGAAACCCAATTTTGTCAGGAAATAAAATCTGTCACTACAGAACGAACTACTAGACTCCGAAATTGTCTCTTTGGTTGTATGTCATCCACCAAGCTTAAGTTAACCCAGCCTTTCTGCGTTTGGGGGCATCCCTCCCCTTATCAGTCCTCCTTGTCCCAATGATATTTCAAATTTAAAGTTATTTTCCAAATTGTAATACAAGTATTTGGTATAAAATAAGGTATGGTTGCTAGTCAACATAATGAAGGGTATCCTTTAACCTGTTCTACATCATTGATTTTAATTACCATGCATGCAACAAAAGTCAGCTGTGCCTCCTCAGATCAGCAGAGCCTGCACACACTGCTATATAATAGAGTTGCTATGCAGGGATCCAAGAACCAGCCCTAGAAAGGGCTTAGAAGCAGAGCAGCTCATGTTTGCCTCTCCTTGCACGACACTAAGTCTTGTTTATTTCTGTGCAAAACAGAAACACAGGGATGAGCATGACTGTGTGTTAGAGATGGCTTTGAAAGTGCTGTTGCTTATTTTCATGCATATCTGCATTTGTGCTGAGATGGTCCATGTGTGTTTCAGATTGACCCCAACAGCATTGCAGCCAAGGATGGGCGCATCCGAGAAGGAGACCGCATTATCCAGGTGAGTCCACTTCCAAACAATGGCCTCATAATGGACCTATCACTAAAGAGCAAACTGGTTCTAATGATAGGTCTAGGGTTGAAATTGCAGAAGAGGTTAAAGAACAGGGATCACAAACACAGATGTGTAGTGAGGCCAGACAAGTTAAACTAATTGTGAGGCTAACTCTGAGTCATAAGACGCAACAGGCGAGTTGGTGAGTACTGAACAACACTAAGATGGGGCCATGTTCCTGTCCAAAGAGGGCCTTGCAAAACTTGAGCACCAGTTCTCCTCATTTTCTTCATTCTATTTGGATCAAAAACAAACATCATGAGCCAAAGTCAGGCAACAGTTTACAACTTGTGACCTAACATAATTCCTCATTTTAGATTTCCTGAAAGATTAACTTTGGACCAAGCATTTCAAGTCTCATCCATAAAATGGAACATTTTTGGCAAATTTAGCAGAATCGATTGAAAGTCTTATAAATTTTCTGCTCAACATCTAACCATCCTGGAATCGCTTCTGAGGGTCATCACTTGACCTTGAGCCCTGTTGCTCCTTCTAGTCCAAATGAGACCATTCATGTCTCTTTTGGCTACAACCTTCTTTAATCTCACAGAATTGAGATTCTTGGCTCATTGTGTCTGCAAGGCTTAGCTTTCTCTCTTCTCATCCATATCCTCTCATTCCTAATCCACGTGTTTTTCTCATGCATACCTCACACACAAGTCATTTTGATTTTCTTCTCCCACTGCCTACTCTGGGTTTCTCTAGCCTTCAGCCAGAACCTGTGCTGCTCAGGATCGCTTGCCTAGGGAAGTGACCCAAACTTTCACACCTGAAGGCTTCACACCTGAAGGGTCAGGGTCCTCAGCATACTGCCTTTTTTTTTTTTTTTTTTTGGTGCTGGAGTTTTCCATTAACCTTTACTAAGAATGGAAGCACTCAGAGGTACTCCAAGGAATCCCCTGGGTTCCAGACACAGTCCTCCCTGCCTCACTGTATCACAGCAAGCCCATTTTCCCTTGGTAATTGAAGGCCAATCACTCCAACCAATAGCGTCACCCCTTTGCTGCCTGTTGGCTCACTGGTGTGTAAGGAGGCATGTGGAGGGCTCACTTCCAATTCAATGGAACCATTGCTGTGTTCCCTGGGAGGTGGCGTTCCACCAGGATTAAGACCTCCAGACCAACAGGGGTCAAAATCACCAGACATGCAAGCAAAAATCCTGCAAGAGGTTAATCAAGTGTGAAATAGTGAGAGTGTCATGCCCACTTGACCTCTGCCTGGCTAAAAGATTAAGTGTCAAACTGGGGACACAAAACACCATGTGTTAATTATTCCCTTTTCTTAACCTCAGTTTCATAATGTTCACATCAGACCCACTGCTGTTTTTCTTCTATATTATCCAATAATGTCTACATATACTCCTGCCTGAATTATGTCTAATTACTTTCATGTTCCCTCTGCAAGCATTATGATTTTCTCAGGCTGTGTCTTCTAAGAGGTTCAGCCCCTTCTGTTCACACTCCACACATCAGTCACCTCATGAACTACACTCATGGAGGCTCCTTTGTAGACCAGAGAAACTGCATTGCTGTGAGCAAGACTTTTCCTTCCTAAAACAGTATTCTTTTCCAGCTACAGGGAAGTTTTATGTCCAGCTGTGAGTGGGTGAAAATGCAGGTCTGAAATAAAATAGAAATGTTTGCACCATCTAATCATACTATTTGCTCCCCACTCCCACCACCCTTTTTTTTTTTTTTTAAAGATCAATGGGATAGAGGTGCAGAACCGAGAAGAGGCTGTGGCTCTTCTAACCAGTGAAGAAAATAAAAACTTTTCATTGCTGATTGCAAGGCCTGAACTCCAGGTAAATCGGCTTCCTACAGATGAAACTGGGTCTGTATTTCTAAAATCAAAAGCTCAGGTCCCCAGGCTTGGAAAAGAGCACCTGAGTATTGGCTGTGAACTTGAAGGTGTTTTGTACCCTAGAAATACAATCAAACTTGCTGTGACTTAGAATCCACTTTATGATTTAGCCATGTAAGGTTGGTTAGATACCCACCCTGACATCTATACTGCAGGCCCACCAGGTTGGTTAATGCAGGCATCATAGGGAAGGAAAAGGAAACAGAATAGAATGGAAAACACAACTGGAGTCATGACCACTGGAGTCATGACCATCAAGACATTTGACTTCCCAAGGCCTAACATGTGTTCCAGCCTTGATCTGTGCAGGTTCCATTTACAATAGCAGAGTATGGGGAATTAAAAATTGCTCTTTCAAAATAAAAGAAATATTGAATGATAAATAATAATTAAAACTGATATGACCACCAAATAAGGGCTAGACTCTCCGTGGATCACTTTACACACAGGAGAGCCTTCCCAAGAGATGGAAGTTTCCAGAGGTTCAAAAGTTACCCAGAAAAGCCCCAGAAGGAGGGTGATAAAGCAGGGAGGGGTTCAGGCCCAAGTAATCTGATTCAGAAACCACTGTGTTATAATAACTCCTTCCACAGAAGGAATCATGAACTCTCCCAGGTGGCACTCTTGATCCACTTAGAATGGCTCCAGCAACACATCTAGAGCAGTCCAGTAGTAGATCTCTTTAGGTATGTGTATTACTCCGTTTTCATGCTGCTGATAAAGACATACTCAAGACTGGATAATTTATAAAGAAAAAGAGGTTTCATGGACTCACAGTTCCACATGGTTGGGGAGGCCTCACAATCATGGTAGAAGGCAAAAGGCACGTCTTACATGGCAGCAGGGAAGAGAGATGAGAACCAAGCAAATGGGGTTTCCCCTTATAAAACTAGTAGATTTCATGAGACTTACTCACTACCATGAGAACAGTATGGGGAAAACTGCCCCCATGATTCAGTTATCTCCCACAAGGTCCTTCACACAACATGTGGGAATCATGGGAGTTACAATTCAAGGTAAGATTTGGGTGGGGACAGCCAAACCATATCAGTATGAAACCCAGTTGAAAAAGTAGCCTAGAGACAGTGGCATACAGGGCATCTGATTCTCCACAGATGGAAGCCTCATAAGCTCAAAGGGAACTTCAGCTGTCATCTCACTCACAGTCAGACTTTTTCTTAAAGGTCCAGATAGTAAATGTTTGACTCGGGTGGCTATACCATCTCTGCTAGACTCTGTCACTCTAGTGCAAAAGCAGACATAGACAATTATGTCAGCGAATGGGCATAGTTGTGTTCTCATTAAATTTTTTTTTATTTACAAAAATAGCAGGCTGGATTGAGCCCCATGAGCTATAGAGTGCCAACTTCTGAATAGTTCACTCTTTTTAGGGCAAGGCAGATAAAGGCCTTTTAAAAGTGATATCCAGTCAGGCTCGGTGGCTCACGCCTATAATCCCAGCACTTTGGGAGGCCGAGGCAGGAGGATCACTTGAGGTCAGGATGAGGCCCAGTTGGCCAACATGGTAAAACCCCATCTCTACTGAAAATACCAAAATTAGCTGGGCGTAGTGGTGCATGCCTGTAATCCCAAATCCCAGCTACTCGGGAGGCAGAGGTTGCAGTGAGCCAAGATCATGCCACTGCACTCTAGCCTGGGAGACAGAGCGAGATTCTGTCTCAAAAAAAAACAAAAAACAAAAAAACCGTGATATCCTTGCCCAAGCCAAACAGCTAGTTACTGTATCTACTGTATCAGAAAGAACTCTTTTTCACACTAAAAATCATTTTTCTTTTTTTTTTTTTTTTATACGGAGTCTTGCTCTGTTGCCCAGGCTGGAGTGCAGTGGTCGGATCTCAGCTCACTGCAAGCTCCGCCTCCTGGGTTCAGGCCATTCTCCTGCCTCAGCCTCCCGAGTAGCTGGGACTACAGGCGCCCGCCGCCTCACCCAGCTAGTTTTTTGTATTTTTTAGTAGAGACGGGGTTTCACCATTTTAGCCAGGATGGTCTCGATCTCCTGACCTTGTGATCCGCCCATCTCGGCCTCCCAAAGTGCTGGGATTACAGGCTTGAGCCACCGCGCCCGGCCTAAAAATCATTTTTCTATGGGACCTGTTAAACTTGTGTCTGGTCCAGCAAGCAGGGGGAACAGCTAAATCTGACCCTCCTACACAGGTGTCTTACTGCAGTGAAAGTAGCTGAGATGGATGAGTTTCACCCTGAAAAAAAAAAAATCATGGATATTAAAGACTTCCCCAGTTTGTAGTGCAGGGTTGGAGGTCTCTGTAATGTGAGGGTGGGATAGTTTCCTGACTTAACGGCAAATCATTGGGCAGACTGCATTTTGATGACTCTTGGAGGAAGCCCTGGAAATATTTTTCCCCAAGGTAATGTCATTTTTTAAAAAACATAAATGAACATGAAAGGAAACTTCTAAGGCATGTGTCGGCTGCTCTTGCCTGCAGCTGGATGAGGGCTGGATGGACGATGACAGGAACGACTTTCTGGATGACCTGCACATGGACATGCTGGAGGAGCAGCACCACCAGGCCATGCAATTCACAGCTAGCGTGCTTCAGCAGGTAACGCCCACACACCAGTCCCTGACACTCTGCCCTGCTGAGCTGGAGGAAAGTCTGCTTCCTCCATCCCCCTTTATGGCGCTAAAGACCATCAGAAGCTTATCCACCTGGAAGACAGCAAGAAAACAGCCTCAAGTACTTTTCTATTTGAGCACCAGACCAGTGAAATGCAAGCTGGGTACTGTCCCTAGCTAAGCTTTTAAATCTAAGCACCATTGCCAAAGCAAAGCTGACCTTATGATAATTTGTTTGGAAAACATATGCGTCGGCATTACCATAGATTGGAAAAAGCCATGTTTTCCAAAGTAAAGCAATCCCCTCTGTTTAACCTGAGCTACTTGGAGCTCTCTAGCTCCCTACTATGCTACTACCATTGTCAGAGTCTTAATGAGCCACTCACTGAGTCCTGTATGAGCTAAACAAGGACCTTTATACATCCTACCTGTGTACTGATTGATTTAACAGAATCATTCATTGAGATAAAGCGACTATTATTATCCTCATTTTACAAAACTGAGGACAAGAACAAGAATAAGTGACTTGCCCAGGTAGATATGGGTAAGTGTGGCTAAGGCCCACGCTCTTGACCTGGTCCTACTGTCAGATGCTGCCCCTCGGCCTTAGAAATGTACAGCCTGCCCTATCCAGAAACACTGCAAGGAAAGGTCAAACCTGAGTACCTGCTGCGTAGGCCTCCCTCACTGTGACCCTTTGTTCTTGTTTTTATGCAGAAGAAGCACGAGGAAGACGGTGGGACCACAGATACAGCCACCATCTTGTCCAACCAGCACGAGAAGGACAGCGGTGTGGGGCGGACCGACGAGAGCACCCGCAATGACGAGAGCTCGGAGCAAGAGAACAACGGCGACGATGCCACCGCATCCTCCAACCCGCTGGCGGGGCAGAGGAAGCTCACCTGCAGCCAGGACACCTTGGGCAGCGGCGACCTACCCTTCAGCAACGAGTCCTTCATCTCGGCCGACTGCACGGACGCCGACTACCTGGGGATCCCAGTGGACGAGTGCGAGCGCTTCCGCGAGCTCCTGGAGCTCAAGTGCCAGGTGAAGAGCGCCACTCCTTATGGCTTGTACTACCCTAGCGGCCCCCTGGACGCCGGCAAGAGCGACCCCGAGAGCGTGGACAAGGAGCTGGAGCTGCTGAACGAGGAGCTGCGCAGCATCGAGCTGGAGTGCCTAAGCATCGTGCGCGCCCACAAGATGCAGCAGCTCAAGGAACAGTACCGCGAGTCCTGGATGCTACATAACAGTGGCTTCCGCAACTACAACACCAGCATTGACGTGCGTAGGCACGAGCTCTCGGACATCACCGAGCTCCCGGAGAAATCCGACAAGGACAGCTCGAGCGCCTACAACACGGGCGAGAGCTGCCGCAGTACCCCGCTCACCCTGGAGATCTCCCCCGACAACTCCTTGAGGAGAGCAGCGGAGGGCATCAGCTGCCCGAGCAGCGAAGGGGCTGTGGCGACCACGGAAGCCTATGGGCCAGCCCCGAAGAATCTGCTCTCCATCACAGAAGATCCCGAAGTGGGCACCCCTACCTATAGCCCATCCCTGAAGGAGCTGGACCCTAGCCAGCCCCTGGAAAGCAAAGAGCGGAGAGCCAGCGACGGGAGCCGGAGCCCCACGCCCAGCCAGAAGCTGGGCAGCGCTTACCTGCCCACCTACCACCACTCCCCATACAAGCACGCGCACATCCCGGCGCACGCCCAGCACTACCAGAGCTACATGCAGCTGATCCAGCAGAAGTCGGCCGTGGAGTACGCGCAGAGCCAGATGAGCCTGGTGAGCATGTGCAAGGACCTGAGCTCCCCCACCCCGTCGGAGCCGCGCATGGAGTGGAAGGTGAAGATTCGCAGCGACGGGACGCGCTACATCACCAAGAGGCCCGTGCGGGACCGCCTGCTGCGGGAGCGCGCCCTGAAGATCCGGGAAGAGCGCAGCGGCATGACCACCGACGACGACGCGGTGAGCGAGATGAAGATGGGGCGCTACTGGAGCAAGGAGGAGAGGAAGCAGCACTTGGTGAAGGCCAAGGAGCAGCGGCGGCGGCGCGAGTTCATGATGCAGAGCAGGTTGGATTGTCTCAAGGAGCAGCAAGCAGCCGACGACAGGAAGGAGATGAACATCCTCGAACTAAGCCACAAAAAGATGATGAAGAAGAGGAATAAAAAAATCTTCGATAACTGGATGACGATCCAGGAACTCTTAACCCACGGCACAAAATCCCCGGACGGCACTAGAGTATACAATTCCTTCCTATCGGTGACTACTGTATAATTTTCACTTCTGCATTATGTACATAAAAGAGACCACTACCACTGGGGTAGAAATTCCTGCCTCGTTCAATGCGGCAAGTTTTTGTATATAAGATAAATACGGTCTTCATGTTTATAGTCCAAATTTGCAGACCCTACAACTCTGGGTGTCATAGGTCTATTTTAAGGGGAGAGAGAGAAAAACACCCTTACTATCTTGGAAGGCAATATTAACAAACAGAGCTTTTTTCAAATAGCAATTGTACTTTTCTACCTGTACCCTTTTACATAAAGTGTTTAAATTTCAGAAAGATCTTTTATTAAGCATACTTTCACAGAATAATTTGTTTAAACTATATTCATATTAAAAAGTTAAACACGCTTTTTTTCCTGCCTAAAAACACAAATACAACTGCCAGTATGTATTTTTAATGGAACCCTATTTTATAATGTTACGTTACTGAATGTGTTTCATATGCGTGACCGTTAAGATATTATTTAGGTGAAGGTTTCAACTCAAAACCACCCAACCCGGTGGTTAACGATTTAATACACATAACCAAACCGGCAGCATTTAGAGTTGGGATATACATTTAAACATTTTCCTGGTTAAGGTTCCCAAGAGAGTGTAAAGGTTTTAGCAGAAAGCAAAATATCATGCAGCTTTATGGAAGTTTAAAGCATGTTTGCAAATATTGCAGCCCATTGAAAGAATTTGCATGTACAGGAAAGTTGTGGATGGAGATGGTTTGTGGAATTTTAAGTGCTCATTGTAGTAAACTTTTGCTTTGTAGATTTGAAGGTACAGACTTATACAAGCAAGTTCACAAAATCATGATTAGTTATAAACATTAAGTAAAATGAAGTTAAAATAAATTATTATTTTCTATTTGATATGTTTTGATGTGATTCCTCATTTTGCAGTGGTGCCTATGAAATAAAAGCCTTTTGCAGTGTTTGCTTTTTTCCCCTTGGTTGTATTACCTGCTACTTTGGAAGGATTTAAGTATCTTAGACCATCTGATGCCTTCGCATTCAGCCTCATGGATATAAAGCCAAGGTCTAGCAGTGAAGAACACAGGGTCAAATTTACCATACAACCCTGCATTCTGACTGCCTGTCTCACAGAAAGTTTCAGCCTGGCCCAATATCCTATAAACAAGAATAGCTATGAGCAAGTTTATCAGTCAGGGCCATGTTTACAGTGAAATCTCTTTCGTTTATTGCAACCATTACTGCCTGTCAGTAATAACTAACACTCCGGGTGGCTAGGTCCAGCTTTCCATTTCTAAGATGCATCTCCAAATCAGGCAATATTTTCATAGAAAAACAGGGGTCACCAAACTGGGTGGGCTTCAAATCTGGTATCTTTCTGACTACTGCAACCACCAGGATCGTAAATAATGAATTTGCTACAAATTGTTTCCTGATTGATTGTAATGTTTACACCAATTTCAGCTGTAATACTGAAAAAAAAGTAAGATATAAGATAGGATTAGGATGGTGTCATTTTTATTTGCCATGATGCCATACATCTGGTTTACTGTCTGATCCAAATGGAATTTGGATTGAAATGACCAGGTGTTTTAGGCATTTCAGACATATATTCCTCTCACGGACCCTGCTCCAACCACAGTCCCTCCTTCGGGGCCAGAATCTTGAGACTAATTAGTAGTCACTCTTGTAATAAACCAACTTAATGAAAATAAAACACTGCAATACTTATTCCTCATTATTAAGATGTCTGTTCATTATCTCTTCCAGAACCAGGCATTGTTATGATAATTACATCTGCTGCATTACTCTAATCAGCCCTCCAAGGTGAAATTTTTGCAAAAAGTGTATACTATTAGGGCCTCGGTTTCCTGATATTCTCCGTTTTAACTTTCCACAAAATCGGATCCTTACCTCCTCCCAGGAGAAGCTCCCCTTTCCCAGTCCTGTCACCTCATACCCTGTCTTCCTAGTTAATGTTTCACAGCGAACAATCATCAGTCAAATGAATTATAAATTGCTGCAAAGCATATATCAGCATATGAGTTTACATGGGGAAATAGCTTTCCTACCCTTGTGTGTTCTCACTGAAGGCCAGAGGGGGCTACATGGCCACAGGAACAGCTTTAGCCTAAACAGTCAAGCACAGGGTTTGGTTTTTTTTGTTTTTGTTTTTGTTTTTTGAGACCGAGTCTCGCTCGTCGCCCAGGCTGAGAGTTCAGTGGCGCGATCTAGTCTCACTGCAAGCTCCGCCTCCTGGGTTCACGCCATTCTCCTGCCTCAGCCTCCCGAGTAGCTGGGACTACAGGCAACCACCACCACACCCGGCTAATTTTTTGTATTTTTAGTAGAGACGGGGTTTCACCATGTTAGCCAGGATGGGCTCGATCTCCTGACCTCGTGATCCGCCCATCTCGGCCTCCCAAAGTGCTGGGATTACAGGCGTGAGCCACCACACCCGGCCAAGCACAGGGGTTTCTAACCAGGGCTCCCCATGTGTCTCTGGGTTTGAGGCTCAGCTCCTGCACTTATGAAAAAGTAGAGGGAAATAATAGGATGCATTCAAATCCAATTCTAAATCCTTTGATTTCAACTTATTTTTAAATCACTTTATCATCTAGATATACTTAGTCATAACATTCTGTGTAATATGAGGCTTCCCAAATCTAATTTAACCAATTAACTTCTAAAAGAAATTGGAAGAGGTCTTAGAAATCATCACTTTATCAATGAACAGGGCACTCAGGGAGGCAAAGAAATGCAGTGCAGCTCATTCATAACCAAACTGGGATTTGAACTCAAAACCCAACACCTGGTTCCACAATTCTTAGCACCCCATACTCTGGAGAATCACCCTCATGTGCACGGTTAACTTAGATGCATTAAATCCTGTGCCCTCGACCAAAAAACAAATGCATTTCACCAGTGGATGCCCCAGAGTGAACATAAGAGGAATCATGAATCTGCCATTTCTTCAACAAGTATGAGCTCCAAGTGCCTCACAGTGCATTTCTTAGCTGGCGGTCGGGATGAAAATTTTCCTGGGTAATAGTGATGAGACAATTTCTAGCTTCCGTTCTCACTAATGTAAAGCCCCAGCTTCTGTGTAAACAGAACATCCACTATAACAGGCCTTTCTACCACCCTGGCTGCATGTACTTTACTTCTTGGGCCCATTGAAGGATCTGATGGAAGCTATAGATTCTATTTGCAGAAAATTAAAAAGTGCATATAATTGAAGACTTCACATACCCCCAAAGTCCATTCACAGATCCCCTCCAAGCATGCAAGAACCCCAAGTTTAGAATAACCAAATTTGATAGCTTTATAGGTTTTTTATTTCTCAGACTTTTATTTCAGCTGCATCTTACGCACACTATTTGATTTGAATGCCTACTTTTCATATCAAGGACTACTTTTCTTCCTATTAGAACTATACTGTTTAACACAACTAAAATTTAGCAAACCACTAGTACCTATAACTAGTACCTATACTCTTCCAGTCATTGTGCAGTTTTTCTGACAGCTACATAAATTGAGGAACGATGAATACAGATTTCTGATTCTCCATAGCAGCCACCCCACTGGTTGGATGACTCAGGTGTAAACTAATCCTAAAATACAAAGCGAAGGAAATGAGAATGTATTGACCATCTGAGCTGCACTGCCTAATACCCGCAGCCACTAGCCACATCTGGCCATTAAGCAGTTAAAATGTGGTTAGTCCAAATTGAAATGTTCTGAGAAAATGGATTTCAATGACTTTGTATTTAAAAATGAAAAATATTTTGATAATTTTTATGTAGAAATCATATGTTGCATATGTTGGATTGAATAAAATGCATAGTTATCACTAATTTAACCTGTTTTAACTGTTTAATGTAAATGCTAGAAGATTTTTAATTACATATGTGGCTTGCGTTATGCATTGGGCAGCACAGATACAGAAAATATCGGGCAAGTACATGCTAAACACTTGCCCTCATCATCTCGCTAAATCCTTGGGGCAGTTCCATGAAGCAGATACTTCATCAATAGTTAAGACTCAGATTCAAAACTTTGCCCAGACAAGTGTAAAGATGTGATTTGAACTGGCATCTACCTAATACCAAACCCTTTACCTGTGCGTCCATCTCCTCCTAAGAAGCAATTCAAAGTATATTCAGTTTAGGTTAATATTTGTAACATATTCATAATCACAAAGAAATTACTTCAAAGTAGCAAGCATTTCACTCAGTTCCCTTTGAGTTCTAAATTGCAGAATATTCTAACTCTCTCGGCAAGAACACATGACAATGAATAAATATCTAGGAATGTGGGGGCACAAGCTAAGTTTTTCATCTTTTAAATGGAAACAGGAGATCCCAAATAGCAAAAATCATAAATACGATGAGGTGGGATTATACATCGCCTAAGGAATACTAGTTGGAGAACTAATTAAGACTATAAACTGAAATATGAAAATTAACCAAGTAATTATCTACTTGTAGCGTTCAGAAGTAGGTTACAGGTTACTTGTTAGGAACATTGCCCAAAACCAAGGAAGCAAACAATTCTGCCACAAGCAATTGAGATTCCCACTTTTATTTCTGTTTCTCGGTTTTAAGTATTTTAGGATTTCTGTGGAGCATCAAGTAATTAAAATCACTAAAACTGAGATAAGATACAAGAATTCTCCTGGCAAATGCTGTAGTCTTCAGTTTTGATTAAATGTGAATTCCCTAAAGCAGTTATAAAACAAAGTGTAGTTCTCTGAGTTTCATTCAAATGGGGTTTTTCTGCTTAAATGGTTCATTTTCTTTAGCTTCCAGTTGCCACTAATCCTGAAAGGGCACAGTCCACAGGGACATGTGGTTTGCCTATAATGTAGTTTTGCCTTTCAATGGCAGAATGCTGACCTCCGTGCACTCAGCATCTTTTTAAAATGAAAAACGGGGAATTAATGATCCCTCCTTCACTGGGGCTATTGCAAATTTAAACTTGCTCACCAATTAGTAAGTCTCGCTAAAATCCTCAAAAGCCAAAGGAAACTCCCTAAACCTCATCAGAGTCTCTCAAAAATATACTAGGAAGTAATTAAATTGTGTTTTTAGTTCTCTTTGGAGAACTACACGTCTCCCAGACATTGTGGGTTTGACTTAGCAGTTTCAGCTCTGTAGAATTATGACAACCTTATGCATCCAGGAGCCATGTCAGAAACCAGCACGGATTCCTTCATCCACTAGTTACTATGTGCATACTCAATCTAGGGCCATGGGGAGGTCTCTGGAGCTCATGGTCCAGTGAGAAAGAAAACAGTAATCCAGCCATCACACAAATACTTACAAACATCACACAAATATGCACTCAACAAGATTAGAGTAAGGGTCAGATAGGAGAGCTAGTGCCACAGATTTCAGAGAGGGTCTCCCTTAAAAAGTTATGGTTGATCTGAGAGTCAATAGATGAATGTGAGTTAACTAGAAAGGTAGTTAAATACAGAAAATAGCACGTACAAAGGTCCTGAAGTGAGAGAGATTTGGCCTATTTGAAACAAACAAAAAAAGGCAGGTGTGACTTGAGCTCAAAAACAATGGAAAAAGAATAGAGAGAATTGAGTGTGTAAAGACAGGCAGTTAGGAAGGAATGACACTGTCTACTTGACCATAAATACCTATTCATTATGGCCAACCTTTATTGAGCACCTAATATGTGCCAGAAACTGCTAAAGTCTTTTACGTGTGCTAACTCCCTGAACCATAAGTAGCCTACCTGATGGGTGGCACTGTTCTTATTTTGTGAATAAGGAAATAAAGAAGGCTTAGAAAAGCAACCAGCTGGTGCATGGTTGAGGGGAAAAGTGAAGCCATCTCTCTCTGACCCCACTGAATCACTGGGCTGCAAGTAGCAACTCCACGACAGGCACTATGGAAAAGGCTCATATATTTCAGCAGATACCTAATATCTGGAGACCTTTGATGACTAT